AATGAAATAAGAGAAGCAATACAGGCATTGCACAATACAGGCAATGCCTGTATTGCTTCTCTTATTTCATTCAATTCTCGACGGGTGTCTTCCATATCTGAAATTTGTTAAGCTCATGTTGCACAATTATTAATTGTTTCCTCTCTTTTTTTTGAATAATATACCGATAAGTAGTAGATTTTTCCTTCAGGAATAGCCAAAAATATTGATTTGTAGAAAACTAATGAATATTTCCTAAACTTGTGTCTGCGCTTGAAAAATCGATTATTAGTAGCTAAGCTGTTTTCTTCGCGTGCACTTGTAACTTGATTACACTTGAAACTTGAATTTTACAATGGCGCTAACAGTGGCAAGAACAAGGCGGGGTGGGAGGCAAATGACCGCACACAGGAATCTCAATAGTGCTTGCGCTGTGCGCATATCGAAAGTGCTCACATATAAGTAAGTCAGTGCAACTGCCAGTGCTATCGCTACCAGTGCAATGAGAAAGGTCTTGTACCACGTAGTGGTGGTATCGATGATGTGGCCAAAATCGGGCCACTGGAACTCGTTGAAAACGGCGTTGTTTACATCCAGTGTAGTCATACCCGGGTAGTGGAACGTGTACACATATTTTAGTACTCCATAATTCGTGTAGTTCAGAATTTGTCTGGCAGAATCAGGCAGTTCTGGCTCTGGACCGTGCGGTGCGCACGGGATTACGAACGCATGTTCAGTACACAATACCTCGCCAAAAATTTCTGTAGCTGAGGTGCATCTTACTTTGGCGAGGGCTCCCCCTGCACAGTGATAGCATCCCTGTAAAGGGCTATTTTCCACTGCACATTTGTCTTCTCACCTGGAAGACTGCTGTGTCTTAGGTCTTATGGACTTCCACTATGAATTCGGATGAAACATTTGGGGTATTTTTGCAAGCAGGGATGTGTTCTGGTAACGAAGTTCCCAGTAATGTGTCTTTCTGGGGAGTTTACGTTGGAGTTGATCGAATTTTTCTGTAATGTGTGCTGACGTGTAGTGACATGAAACGGCGGACTTGGCCGGGTTCAGCTGCAGTCATCCACTACTGTGCAATTAATGCGCTGCGCTTTTTCTCTAGAGTCGCAAATGAGATTCGGAGTGATGGCCCCCGTCAATAGTGCAGTGTCCTCCCACACCCACTTTGGATCCTTTGCGAAATTGTGATCTTTCTCCGAAATTTTCACATTTTTGGATTGCCACATTAGGTTCCCGCCCACCTTAAGAAGCGCCGCCCGCCTCGTAGGAGCCCCGCCCACTTTTGAGAAAATGGTGCCGATCGGCCGATTAAACTCTAAACTGGCATGTTAGGCTCTTGCTGGTCACACAAACGAAATCCACCGCTTTTCGGATCAAATTCACCACACTTGTTAGACCGGGCAATTGATTAACCAGATCGCGCTACCGCATGCCCCGCGCAGACGGCCACGCCTACTTCTCAGCGAGGCCATAAAATTTCAAATTTCATTTCGACAGAAAAAAAACCACGCGAAGTTGGAAACAAAAGAAAATCAGACGAAGTTTGCTCCGAGTGATGAGCGGGCCCCCATCATGCTAATTCAGTCCACCAGAAGTGCGAATGTGCCGCTTTTTTTCACTTTCGGTATTTCGTAAATGCACATCAATTGAGGAGATTTGATACAATGAACCATGTGAACCTTCGCCCTCTATTGGAAAAAGTGATGTAACGGGGGGGGGGGGCTAAAGTCTCCGATGGCTATCTGGAGTCAAGCTCGTTATTCGGAACGGAAAATCAAGCAAAATTCGTTCTCAGTGCGATATAGGTGCGAGCGGTGGTGTGTGTGTGTGTGTGTGTGTGTGTGTGTGTGTGTGTGTGTGTGTGTGTGTGTGTGTGTCCTAGAAGCTTTCAAGGTTGAACAGGTTTATCGTAGTTCTTCTTCAACGAGCTCCATAGGGCGGGATTCATTGAAAAGTACATGCCGACCAGCACGATCATGTTCATCAGTGTAGAAGTCGTCATTTTTGAACATCTGGAACCTGTGAATCGTTATCTCAGAAGACGAAGATGGAACGGTGTGTTTTTCGATATGCATCGTTCGTTTTGGTTTAAGGGGTATTATTGAGGTGCTAGGACCGAACGTGCCTTTGGTCAAGTTCAATGTTTCCCGTAGTGAGGTCATGTAATTTCAAAAGTAAAAAAGGCATTGAATGCCGCACTGGGTTTTTCGTATCTGTTCACTGGGCTCATCTTGAACTTTCATCCATATTCCAGAAAAGGCCCAAACAAGGGTTCCAGAGACCATGCTCCAACCTGATATTACTTCTCAATATGTCATTAGAAAGTCCCGCGACACGTGGGCGACAGTTCTTGAAAAATCGGAATACTCGAAGGTATTCAGACTAATTTTTTATGAGAACTGCTGTTCATCGTCGCAGTTGCGTTCTCAGTACGCTACCTAGGTTGCCCTGTTGCCCTCTTAGCTTGATTACTTAAGCCTTACAGGACTGACACGCTTCACGCGATGAACCGGTCAGTCAACAGCGGCAGTGAACCGCGTGGCTGAAGTCCTTACATGTTTCTAGGCTCGTCGTTGCTGTTAGACTACGGCAAGAAAGCCTAGCTGACACTATGGACAGGATAAGAGGTGTCCCTTGTGGCTCCCTGTAGCGGATAGCCCACTCGCTGAGCAAACTGAGATATGGGTTCCGGTCTCGCCTGGGGTCAAGACTTTCGCTAACTCATCATCCATATGATAACTTCCC